CAAGGCCAATGCCCCTTCTCTCTCCTGTGCCCCCCCACTGCTGCCCCAACCCCCTGCTCACTGGTTCTCATTCCCTGGTGCTTCAGATGATCTTCCCACTGCACTGGCAGTGCCCCTACATTCCACTGTGCCCACTGGTGCTGGCGGACGTGCTGAGCGCCCCCGTGCCCTTCATTGTGGGTATCCACTCCAGCTACTTTGATCTGCACGACCCCCCTGCTGATGTCATCTGTGTTGATCTTGATACCAACACGCTCTTCCAGTAAGAGGGCCAGGTCTCATTCAGGAGGCTTTGGGGAGGGGGGCACCAGAGGGCTGGTGTGTGGAGTGCTACCTGCTCAAAAGGAACCTCAGGCAAAAAGTAGAGGAGGCTGGTGAGGAGCTCCATCGCCCTTTCTTCCTTCTGCTTATCTCACAGGACTGAGGAAAAGAAGCTCCCCTCCCCTCGGAGCCTGCCCCGCAGACCCTACAAGGTTCTGCTGTCTACACTGACAAACCTATACCAGCAGCTGGATCAGAGTGAGAAGGCTGGGTGGAGGTGGGAGGCTGGAAACTGTCATTGATGTTAAACCTCCAGTTTGGGGAGGTTAGAGGAGTTAGGATTTCATTTGGTGGACATGAGGGGAATTCAAATTCCAATTTAAGCAAGAGGGAGGAGCATACAATATTAATATTCCTAAATATGTTGGGAAGCTCAAGCTTATCATTGGGGAGGCTCGAAACTGTTACCTTGGGGTAATTTTTTAGCCAGTATTGGTGCATGGTCTCTTAGAAGCTGGAGGTGGTGAGGTAGCAATGGAGACCTCTGTGTAAAGAGCAGGGTTGAGGCAAGCTCTGCAGGTGCCGGCCCTGACTCTCAGGCTGCCCTGGTCCCCAGCATATACTGGACCTGAGGAGGAGGCATCCCTGGAATTCCTGCTGACAGACTACGAGGCAGTGTGTGGCCGCCGGGCCCGGCTGGAGCGCGAAGTCCAAGGAGCCTTCCTCCGCTTCATGGCCTGTCTGCTCAAGGGCTACCGGGACTTCCTGCTCCCCCTCACCCAGGCCCCTTCTGAGGGGGCTCGCGATGTTGACAACCTCTTCTTCCTGCAGGGTAAAGAGGGCCTGTCTCTGCTTGGGGAGGGTGTCACAGGCGGGGTGGCCAGGGGCCCAGCTCCATGGGGAAGCCAGGGGGGACTGGGAACCACTCAGTTGTTCATTCCTTTGCTCGGCAAACGTTTTTATGGGCACCAGCTTTGAGCCATACACTCTTCTGGGCTTGGAGGGAGTAAGGATACAAAGGTGAACCAGATGTGGCACTGCCTGCTGGTAGCCCTGGGCTTGGGGTGGGCACAGTGATGCCTGTGGTGAGCTGCCCCCATGGGCAAATCTCTCTTCAGGGACCCTGCCCTTGGAGAACCCCCAGTCTGAGGCAGTGGGTGCAGACAGACAAAAGGAAAGGATTCCATGGGACCATGGTGCTGGGGGAGCTGAGCTGGTGGGCTTGGCGTGTGGGGTAGTTGTGCCAGAAGGGCCAAAGAGATGATGGCTTTGATAATGCCAAGTGGAGCCAAGAAAGGGGTTCAGGAAGGTGTGGCTGTGGTAGGAAACCCTGGTAACCTTCCTCCCCTGCCCATTCTCATCTCCTGCAGGCTTCCTCAAATCTCGGGAACGCTCCAGCCACAAGCTGTACTCTCAGCTGCTGCGCACACAGATGTTCTCACAGTTCATCGAGGAATGCTCTTTTGGCTCTGCTCGGCATGCTGCCCTCGAATTCTTTGACTCTTGTGTTGACAAGGTATTGGGCATTGTCCCTTCTCTTCGTGCCCATTGCCCTCTGCTCTCTTCCTGGCTGTCTCTTACCCCAGGGCCACTATAAATACAACTAACTCTGTATCTTATCTGTGACGGGGATAAGGTGCCCCTGGAACTATACAGTGCACAGCATGGGCACCCACACATGACTGGCTTCATATACACACCATGTTCCTATTCCTGACTCCACCCTCCCAGCTATATCTCCAGGGCCCTGGTGGAGTCTGGGCCCACTTACTCCCTCCCTATGGATGTGCTTTCCAGGGAGATGCCATCTTCTGGACCCCCTGGCCCTGCTCCATGCCCACTGTCTTCATGCTCACTCTCTTACCATCCTACTCCAGGTCCACCCAGAACAGGAGAAGCCTGAGCTGACACCCTTAGTGGAGCTGGAGGAGCTGTCAGGAAGTGAGCTTACTGTCTTTATCACACCTCCTGAGGAGCCTCCGGTGCCAGAGGGCAGTGAATCCATTCCCCAGTACTGGTGAGAGCCTCTTGTCCCCTCGCTTGTTCCAAGGACCCATAGGATGGCTTAGTGCTGACTGATCCTAATGTTGCCTCTCTCTACCCCTCCAGCTATGATGGGTTCCCAGAGCTACAGGCTGAGCTGTTTGAGTCTCCTCAGGAGCAGCCAGGGGCTCTGCCTGTGCCAGGCCCATCCCGTAGTGCCCCCAGCAGTCCTGCCCCTCGCCGTACCAAACAGGTAACCAGCAGGTGGGGCCCACAGAGGCATCTGGCTCAGACTGAGGGCTGCTGCTTCAGTTTCTTCATCTGTAAAATGGGTATGATAGTACCTACCCCATAAGGTTGTTAGGAGATTTAAATATGCCTGGAACATAAAATGTTAGTGTCATTATCATCATCATCCTTCTCTGAGCACTCTGGGAATCCAGGGGTTTGCTGACGCTTCCAGGGCACCTGCTCATGCTCAAGGGCTAAGCGTCTTTGCCCAGGGCTCCAAGGCTGAAGCCTGTGTGTGTAGCATCCCTCCTGCCTCCTCAGAGCACAGACCCTTCCTCAGGGAGGTGTTGCTTCTCCCACACCATTTTAAAACCTGCCGTGCCCTGGCATTGTACTCATCCAGGTGTGTCCCCTGCCCCACCTAGGAGATGAAGGTCGCGCAGCGGATGGCACAGAAGTCAGCAGCTGTGCCCGAGCTGTGGGCCCGGTGCCTTCTGGGGCACTGCTACGGGCTGTGGTTCCTGTGTCTGCCTGCCTATGTGCAGTCAGCACCCTCCCGGGTGCGGGCACTGCACACGGCCTACCAAGTGCTGCGCCAGATGGAGAGCCGCAAGGTGGTGCTGCACGACGAGGTGGGCATCGGCACCTAGTCCAGGGAGGCTTGTGCAGCGCTGGCGGCTATAAGAGGGAAACCTGGTGGAGACCAGGGAAAGCAGATGGGGAGCGGAGCCACAGCCCCTGAGCTGATGCTCCATCACGTTCACTGAGTGAATGAGCTTGTTCAGCGTATGGCAGTGGAGACTGCAGGGTGGCAGGGTCAGCAGGAAGGGCGGGTGGCTCTGAGGCAGCCCCAGGAGCTGCTAGGAGCCAGTGAAGTCTGTGAGACTTGGGAAGGCTGGTAGAGGAGGCTTGCTGAGACTTGAAAATTTAAGAGGATTGAGTCCCCTCTGATCCTGCGCCTCTCCTGGCCCAGGTGTGTTACCGGGTGCTGATGCAGCTCTGCTCGCACTATGGGCAGCCTGTACTGTCTGTGCAGGTCATGCTAGAGATGCTGCGAGCAGGCATTGTGCCCAACACCATCACCTACGGCTACTACAACAAGGTACCTAATTTGGGGTTAAGGGTGGGATGGCAGCCTGTGCCAGGTGTTTGTGGGGGGAGGAAGCTGCTCCCTGACACCTGCTGCTCTCCCCTCTCCTTGGAGCTTGGGCCTGTACCATCCAATAGGTCCTGTAACCAGTGTCATCCATGTGCTGCTGTAGTGCCTTAGCATCTATAGAGGGTTTTCTCAGACTTGCTGCTTTGATTCTCACTCATAACAGCCTGACAAGGAGATTGGGCAAGTACTGCCACCTCCCAATAATAGCGAATAGTGTTAGCCAATGTGCCAGGCACTGTTCCAAATACCTTACACATTTTAAGTCATTTTATCCTCACCACAGCCTCATGGGGTAGAATGATGATTATCCCCTCCTTAAAGATGAAGCAATGTGGTTACAGAGAGTAACTTGTCCAAAGTTCCACAGTGAGCAAGTTAGGGAGTTAGGACATGAGCACAGGCATATCGATGCCTCCTGAATTCAGGCCCTTAACCATGATACTATACTGCCTCCTGTTTTTTAGATGAGGAACCTTATGACCAAAAAAAGTGAAATGATTTCTTCAAAGCCATATAGTTTATAAGTAGCAAAGTCTGGATACAAATTGTCTCCACTGCTTCTGGCTTCGTCTAGACCCCCTGAGAGGTGGCTGCTTCTGGGCTCTTGTTCAGAAGACAAGCCATTGGTAGGACAGTCCTAGGCATGATGTCTGGAGAGGAAGGTGGTCCCTGGGGCTCCTGGACAGGCAGTGGGCATCAGGCTGGGGTAAGGGTGTGGAAGCAGGCCATCTTGATGGGCACTGTGCTTTGCAGGCTGTACTGGAAAGCAAGTGGCCGTCTGGTACCCCGGGTGGGCGCCTGCGCTGGGCCAAGCTCCGGAACGTTGTCCTGGGGGCTGCTCAGTTCCGCCAGCCCTTGAGAGAACGGTGGCAGCAGCGGCGGCAGCAGCAGCAGGCAGCAGCACAACAAAAGGCAGGCAGCTCCCAGACAGGTGGGTAGGGACTGGTGACACGGCTTGGGGATGGAGTAGCCAGGGTCAGGCAGGGAGAGGCATGGAGCGCTTGGGCTGGCCTAGTGATTGGCATTGGGTGTTCTGGGGATGGATAAAGTACACTTGGCTGACAACAAAAGAGATGAAGTTCTGCAGGAGGAACCCTACAAACGCAGGTCCAGGCAAGGAGCTCTGTTTTGGAATAGGGGACTAGGTTTCTAGCTGGCTACCTTTCAACCCCCTCCCTGTCTTTTGCAGAACCCTCTCTGGAGCGCCCCTCCCCTACCCGCCCCCTTCAGCGCCAGACTACTTGGGCTGGGCGAAGCCTGCGGGACCCAGCCTCACCCTCGGGGCGCCTGGTGAAGAGCGGCAGCCTGGGCAGTGCCCGAGGGGCACAGCCCACTGTGGAGGCTGGCATAGCCCACAGTGAGTGCCCTTGTCTGACCCACCCCCCAGTCGGCTTTCCTAACCACTTGCCAGTGAGAGGGGGGAAGACTAGAGCCAGGATGGAGGGGTGGCCCTCTGTGGTGGGTACTGTAGACTGAAGGAACCTTGCCCAGAATGCCGTCATGGTGGGGGTTGTGATGCCAGAGTTGGTGCAGCCAGGAATTGTATTTATTCAATTTCTGGAGGAGGGGCTGGGCTTCTTCTTCCCTGATTCTTTTCTGCCCTGCAGTGATAGAGGCCTTGGGGGTCCTGGAACCCCGGGGATCACCTGTGCCCTGGCACGATGGAAGCCTCTCAGACCTGAGCCTGACCGGGGAGGAGCCAGCACCTGGAGGCAGCCCAGGGGACTCTGGCTCAGCCCTGATTACCCAGTCTACTGAAGCTCTGGAAGGGCTAAGTGGGCGGGTACCCAAGGCTGGTGGGCATCAGGATGAGGCCAGCACCCCCCGACGAGGGCTGGGTGCCCGCCTCCAACAGCTGCTCACTCCTTCCCGCCGCTCCCCTGCCTCTCGCGTTCCCCCACCTGAGCTGCCCCCTGACCTGCCTCCCCCAGCCCGCCGCAGCCCCATGGACAGCCTTCTGCGCCCCCGGGAGCGCCCTGGATCCACTGCCTCCGAGGTAGCCAACAAGGGGAGGGTCCAGACATTTTAGCACCAGGAGGCCTAGGGAGAGGCTGCTATCTAGGAGTGTCCAGAGGGGCCTTGAAGGGTGGTTGAAGCCAGCATCCTGGGTGAAGAGGACTATAGGGTTGGCTGACCATGCTTTCTCGTGTAACGGCAGAGCTCAGCCTCTCTGGGCAGTGAGTGGGACCTCTCAGAATCTTCTGTCAGCAGCCTGAGCCTTCGCCATTCCTCAGAGCGCCTCAGTGACACCCCTGGATCCTTCCAGCCACCTTCCCTGGAAGTAAGGATAACTCCTCCCATGTAGATGTGCTGGAACACACACATACACCATATCCACTCACTGTCAAAGGCAGGGGCTGGGGAGGAGGTGGAAAGAGGTGGGGCTGGGATTTGGAGGTAGGAGGGGCTAGGGAAGGAACATGGGCTACTGAGCCTGGAGGCTAAGCAGGGCCTGCTTCCTGGGGTCTCTTTGCCTGCAGATTCTGCTCTCTAGCTGCTCCTTGTGCCGTGCCTGTGATTCGCTGGTATATGATGAGGAGATCATGGCTGGCTGGGCACCTGATGACTCCAACCTCAACACAACCTGCCCCTTCTGCGCCTGCCCCTTTGTGCCCCTGCTCAGTGTCCAGACCCTTGATTTCCGACCCAGGTGCCCAAAGCAGGGCAAGTGCTGCGGGTGGGACAGAGAGGTGGAGGTCCAAGACCTGACCCCTCCTGCTATCCCTCTGCAGTGCCCCCAGCCCCAAGCCTGCCCCTGCTGATGCTGGAGGCAACAAAGACGCTCCTGTCCCTGGGGGCCCAGGACCTGTGCTCAGTAACCGCAGGCTCTGCCTTGCCCTGGATGAGCCCCAGCTCTGCAATGGGCACATGGGGGTAAGGGCTGGGCCAAAAGGGCACGAGGAATGGATGTGTGTGTGTGTGTGTGTGTGTGTGTGTGTTGCCCTGTTGGGGGGCCCAGCAGTACTGGGGAGAGATGGGCATTGAGGGCAAGGGGCATCCCAGAAGCTGTCGGACATGGTGGCTCAGTGGGAAGCGTGGCTCTGGGGATGGGGCCATGGTACATGTCCTCCACTGCCCTCCCCCTTTTTGCCTGACAGGGTGCCTCCCGGCGGGTCGAGGGTGGGGCGTGGGCATACCTGAGCCCCCTGGTGCTGCGTAAGGAGTTGGAGTCGCTGGTAGAGAACGAGGGCAGTGAGGTGCTGGCATTGCCTGAGCTGCCTGCTACCCACCCCATCATCTTCTGGAACCTTCTGTGGTATTTCCAGCGGCTGCAACTGCCCAGTATTCTGCCATGCCTGGTGCTGGCCTCCTGTGATGGGCCCCCACCCCCCCAGGTCAGTACCTCCATGTGGTCCTGCTTCCTGAGTGCTTCCCTCCTCATCTCCGGCTCCCTGTCTCTCAGTCCTCTGTGTCCTTGGCACTGTAGAAAGAGCATAGGCTTTAGAGTCAGTTGTTCCTGGTTTGACTCCTGGCCCTTTCACTTCACTACTCTGAGCCTCAGTTTTCTCGTCTGTCAAATGGCATAAGCACCCACCACACGGGGCTGTTGTTAGCCACCTCGTGTAGCACCTGGGACCTAGATAGTGATTTGTTTATGTTCGTCTGTCCATTCCACCAGTCTTTATTGAGAATCTTTTCGGTTCTAGGCACAGTTTTAGGCACTAGGGATGTAGCAGATTACAAAACAAAGTCTTTGTTTTCAGAGAGCTTGCATTCTCGTAAGGGATGAGAGTTCCTTTCCCTCTTCTCTTTGGCTATGTCCTGTAATGTCCCTGTCTCTTGGAACATCGCCTATCTATTTCCTGTGCTCTGCCTCCATTCCACGAGCCTAACTGTCTCCTTTATCTTGGCTCCCTGCAGGCCCCATCTCCATGGCTGACACCTGATCCAGCCTCTGTGCAGGTGCGGCTGCTGTGGGATGTCCTGACCCCTGACCCCAATAGCTGCCCACCTCTCTATGTGCTCTGGAGGGTCCACAGTGAGTCTGGTATTTGGCTTAGGGTCGGAAGGGGTGGGTCCCACACCCAGAGGGCTCAATAATCCTGGCTACCTTGCTTTCTTTCACCCAGGCCAGATCCCCCAGCGGGTAGTATGGCCAGGCCCAGTACCTGCATCCCTTAGCCTGGCGTTGCTGGAGTCGGTGCTGCGCCATGTTGGTCTCAATGAGGTGCACAAAGCTGTAGGGCTCCTGCTGGAAACTCTAGGGCCGCCTCCCACAGGCCTGCACCTACAGAGGTATGGTGCTCCATCTGGGAGGTCCCTGGCCTGCCCTGGGCTCCACACCTCCTTTCTCTCACTCACAGCCTTCTGCCTCCACTCCAGGGGCATCTACCGTGAGATCTTATTCTTGACAATGGCTGCTTTGGGCAAGGACCATGTGGACATAGGTAGGGAGCAAGCAGGGGGCTGAGGAGTGTAGGGATCTGGGGCCAGGTGCGGGAGGTTGGAAACTAATAATATTGACCTACCTCCACCCTCTTCCCTAGCGGCCTTCGACAAGAAGTACAAGTCCGCCTTTAACAAGCTGGCCAGCAGCATGGGCAAGGAGGAGCTGAGGCAGCGGCGGGCACAAATGCCCACCCCAAAGGCCATTGATTGCCGAAAATGTTTTGGAGCACCTCTGGAATGCTAGGGACCCTTAAGCTTCCCTCTCCAGCCTGGGGTGGGGAAGTGAGGGAGAAAGGACTCTAGAGATAACCTGCTTCCCTGTTCCTTTCATAGAGTAGTTGGGAACAGGCTAGGAAGCATGCCCAGCCATAGGCTCCGAGTTGGGGCAGCAGGAAGACGGACCCACTATTACCAAAAGTCACAATTCCCCTATCTCCAACCTGCCCAATATGCTTATGCTGATGTTGGAGGAGGCCTGGGGGGAGCTAGCACAGCTCTGTTCCTCCCCATCTTATACCAGGAACTCCCCTCCAGGGTACCCATAGATCTGCGCTGCCCTGGTCATTTTATAAGTTTTTGTTTTAAAAAACAACTAGAAAGATACAGAGTTACTGAGCCTTTGTCCTGAATGGGAGGGAGGGATGTCATTCCTCACCAATGATGGTCCCTCTTCCCTGGAATTGCTGAAGAAGCCCAAGGCTCTCCATACCTTTCTACCTTCAGGTTTGTATTTTATTTTAAGTTATTTATTCTGGAGCCACAGCCCCCTTGCTTAAGAGGTTCTTATGGACGGTGAGAAAGAGAAGGGAAATAGGGCACCATGGTCCCGTGGTTTGTAGCTCCTTAGAAGTCAGGAGCTGGGAGCCAGAGGAGTCCCAAGCTCCCCTTAGGAAGAACTGGTGCCCCCTCTAGTCCTAATCCTTTTTGTCCGCTCCACCTTGGGGAATGCCTCACTCACCCAGGGCCCTGACTGTGCAATAAGGATTATTCCTTGTGAAGTTTTGTTGGATGTAAATATAGTAAAAGCTGCTTCTGTCTTTTTCCTTCTGCCTCCTGTTCCCTGGGTCTGGGATAATGGTGGGGGATACCTCTCTTCTTCCCCTGGCTGCACATCCTCCTTCCCACCTTCCCATCCCTTGCGGCCTTCAGGGACACCCTGCTTTCCCTAACCACGTCTGGTACTGGTCCCTTGGCACAGGGAGTTCTCGAAGCAGTAGAGGGGTGAATCCGGTGCTAGCTATGGTGGTGCCAGTCTGTGTGGCACTTCTGGCCCTCCTACACAATCACCCCCTTGTCCCTCATCTGTACCCCACACAAAGACTCCATTCTCTGGAGGCCCTGAGCTCATCTCTGCCTTCTTTCCTCTCCCCCAGCTTCCCCCTCCCAACTTCTCCAGTACCTCCACAGGGATGATACCCTCTCCCCAGTAGTTGGTGTTGGCAGCCCTCATGCATCCTGGGAGCCCTGGCAGTCATCATAGGCCTTCTTAGTTGCTCTAGCTGCAGGCAATACTCTTCCAACCAGGGTCTCAGCTTGGGAACAGCACCAGGAAGATAGGGGCAAGGCTTAAGGGGCTTGCTGCATGTGGGCATCAGGGAGACAGGCATCGTTTTTCTAGTCACTTTGGCCCACTCGCAGTTCTCCCTTTCTTTCCTGTATAATGAAATAAACACAGGAAACAACTCCTAACAGAGCTGCAAAACCAATTACCAAAGGGAATTAGCCAACAAAACAGAAATGCCTTGGGGAAGGAGGGCAGGAGTGTCAATGGAGGAAATAATTTACATGAACCTTTAGTGCAAATTCCTCAGGGTGGAGATCAGTGGATGGAGAGAGAAGTACTACTTCTGAATTCTGGCACCTTCAAGCCAGAGGATCCTTTCCCGTCCTGTCTTGAGCATGGTAGGACGCTTTTCCAGCGTTCTAAAGGAGCAGCACAGGCGGGACGGAGGGGCTTAGGAAATGCCAGCTGTTTTGCCAGGGACTAGGAGATGTCTTCTTCAGAGGGGAACCCTCATGTCACCCCAGGTTCTGATCAGACCTCACTCCCCAGAATCAACTTCACCCTGTATCATCTCCAAGGACCTTCTGCAAGGGAGCAACTGCCTTCCTGAAGTCATAAGTTTCTGTTGAGTGTAGTGTGCCCAACAATGGGCCGAACCATCTGGAATTACAGAATT